GAGAGAGAGAGAGAGAAAGAGAGAGAGAGAGAGAGAGAGAGAGAGAGAGTTAGCCAACATACCCCGCACGCTGCCGATATGGCGGAGCGCACTATCGACATCTGTTGTAAAACGTGCGAGATGGACAAAAATTACCACTACATGCATCTTGCATGGTTGTGTACGTGTGATATATGTGTGCGCATGTGTTGTATACGTGTGATAACGTGTAGCACGATACTACTATGTATGCGTCGTCGATGATGATAATGATGATGATAATGATGATGATAATGATGACGGGGACGTTTCTTAATAGAAATATTTCATATTTCGACTTTGCATTTATATATCTCTGCTTACAAATCACGTAGAGCAGAAATAAAGACACTTTTATTATATAATTCGAACTCAATCTATCGATTAAGTCTAGTATAAACTCGATTGCTTCAGCCATTATTGAGGATTCGAAATATTATAAAGACTCAAATGTCCGACTCGCGTTAAGATACACGGTGTCTCCGCTACGCCCTTAACTGGTCGCGAGAACACGGTGTCTCCGCTACGCCCTTAACTGGTCGCGAGACACTAATGTGTCTCTTGATTGCTAGCATGTCCTTCACTCTAGTGCATAAATGTTTTTCGTTTGTCCAATGTATGAGGCATTACAATTTTCACAATTAATCTTGTATACTACATTTGTTTCTATATCATTAGTTATTAAATCTTTACCTCGTTTTATCAGCCTATTCAACTTTTTTGGCAAACTATAAACGACATTTAAGTTAGCATTTTAAGTGACCTTTTAGTCGCTAACGTCTTTAACATATGGAAGTGGAATCACATAATTCTTATCTTTGAGTCGAATTCACATTATCGTTATTATCCAAATTATTATTCAAATTATCGTTATTATCCGCATTGTGACGGTTAACATTTCTATTATTATTTAGTACATTAATCTTTTATTTACATATTTATTATTAATACGACCCGGAAAGCAATTATTAATTAAAATGTTCTTTACATCTCAATATTCGTATTATGAAATTGTTCGTTTAAAAGTAATATTGCATGATTTACTAAATTATAAATCGTATTAATTTTATACTTAATAGGATGACTCAAAAGAAAATTGATGTATCTGCCAGAAATGTAAGTTTCCTAAACCAATTAGTTGTCAATTCATTCCCATTGCGGATAACTGTGGAATTTAAAAATTAATAGAAGAATTGGTCTCTCTATTTCATGCGTAAATTTTAATCGTCGTCATGATAATTATTAAATGTACTTAAAATTTCATTTATTTTAGAGTTAGGTAAAATAACAAAAATGTCATCCACATATCTATAAAAAGTCTGAACTTTAAAATCGTAAGTATATCTTTTTAATTCTTTGAAGTTTTTATTATTTCGATTAGCTGAATTTTTTAATACTGTCGATAAATAATTTAAAAATTTTAAAGTTGCGATCTTATACCGCGATTAATGTCGCTTTTGTTCAAAATCAAAATCTAAATTTCTTAAAATTATACATCATCGTTTATTATGTATATAATAGTATTTATTATTTCTTAGGACTATTTTTTATATTTAATTTTTATTAATCATACTGGCGACTTTAAACTATTAAAGAGTTTTTTTTTTTTATGTTTAATTCCTATATTAAATTTTTTTTGTGTTTTTTAATCTATAACTATAGGAATAAAAAAAATAAATGTTTACATGTAATAGTAGCATCTAATACACAACAAACACATGTGCTATATATGTATATACATATACAATAGTTGTGTTATGCAAATATACATATAATAATATATGTAAAGATCTAAGAACATTGTGCGCATTATTTTTATTTATACAGAATGTTAAAGAAAAATCATTCAACATTCATAAGGTACCCGTACGACATTTTAGATTTCAGATACATATAGCAAATAGATAAAATTTGTAATGTTGCTATATAGCAGATATACAGTAATACATATAAATTATGTATTAAGTACATGTTTAATACCGATAATTTCCGCGCTATGGATACGTAATTTACGTTATATATCAGATACATATGATTATATATATTCGATATATGTTAAATACGTAAATTATGTATTTCATACGTATCTGCAATATTGCTAATAGGCGTTTAAAATGTATCATACAGATTATTTATTCATACACATACAGGGTATCGATTATTGTGTAACTTTTTCTGAAGTAAAAACAAAAAAGTAAAAAGATTTCTTAATGTATAATTGGCGGAAATTTTTAACTTTTCACGTTTTCACTTTAGAAAAAGTTACACCATCAATACTCATAAATAGTACACACAATACTGTAAAAATATTTTAACAAATATTAGTGTTTGCTGTTATCTAAATAACAATATATAGATATGATCTAGATTAAATTTTCATCTTATCTTTATATAGATGATAAAATATATTATCTATATCTGCAGCTTAGATAAAATGTGTTATATTTATTAAATTATTTAGAATATTGTTCAATAATTTGGTTTAGAATCATAGCATATAAAAAAACTTAAATAGTAGATCAAGCAGTAAAATATTTAAATATTATAAATATTTTAATTATAAATTTTATAAATATTTATAATATTGAAATAATCTCTACAAGAGATTTAATTCCATACATCCCCTGTTCCCCCTTAAGGGGGATCTTCCAATTTTAAATTTTGGCCGTGTCCAAGTAAAATTTAGTGCTTTGTGCACAGGTTTTAATCCTAACGAAAAAATTTAGTTTCGTTGAGATAACGCACTGTTTATTTCATTTGTAAATTTATTTTATTATATTTGTATCTTTAACCTTATGATTTAACGTTATTTCAAAATATTGATATAATCTGCACATTTATGAGTCAACTTGCTTTTAACATGAAAAGTATATAAAAATTACATTATTCTGATTGATAATATAAATCGTTTAAATTTATGGAGGTTGTGTATTTATATAAAAAAAAAATTATTGTTCAGTTATGAATTAACACTTTTCTAAATTATCTTAATTCTTATAACGAAATACAGAAAATATTTCTATTTTTTTATTTTCTAAAAATGCCACAAAAAATTTGAACAAGTATAGGTTTAAATTACATCAAGAATAAAAAAATTTTTCATTACAGTCGATAATGCAAGTTTTATTCCATGGCGAAATATTTCCGCAAGATGTTTATAACACATTAATGACGTTAATCGGCCGCAACCTGAATTTTATCAAGCGGAATATTGCGCCAATAATTTCATATTTGCGCCCTACGGTAGCGACCCAGAGCAGTTTAATTATGTGAGTAATAATTTCTTTGCAAAAAATAATATTAAATTATAAAATAAAGATGGTTGGTATCAAAGACGAGAATCAATGAAAGGATTCATTTTTTTAATTGAATTTTTAGAAATGTCTTTGGTCGCTCTAATTTCCATAAATTTTAAGATATTTGAGTAAATTTTTTACAAAAATAAATTATCATTAAATAATGTTTGGTATTGAGTTTTGCGATAATCAGTGAAAAATTTCGATTTTTATAAATATTATTTTTAACAAATATTTTTTTCATTTTTCTACATTTTGAGATAACATTCCAAACTAAATGTTTTTACCTCGAGAAATTTGCAACCATATTTTGGTACCAATTTTGAGAAAATCGATCCCTTAATGAAGGTGTATTTTGCGGTCAGACAGACAGATGGTATATATATATAGACAGTTATTAAGCTCGCGCGAAAAAAATATATATTAAAAAAATGTTAGATACAGGTTTTGAAGCCCGCGCAATCGTGCGATTTTATATCGGATCTTATATATTCACAGATAAATATATGTATGTATATATATATATATATATGTGTTTTATTCCTTATTTAGACTCAACTGCCCGTTATCGCAAGTCACCTGCCCGCCGCCTCGCTTAAGACGGTGGTGCACTTCGTTCAAAGAATGCAATCGTGCAAGTTTCGTCAATATGATTACGGTGCCATGAAAAATCTCATAATCTACAAGTCGGTGGAACCTCCAGAGTACAATTTATCAAATATCGCACTACCGATGGCGATATATTACGGCAACAACGACTTGATGGTAGTTCCCATTGTAAGTGATGAAAAAAGTATTTATTTATTTATTTGATAAAAAAAAGCGTAGAAATTATAAGATATTACAGTAGAGTGACTCGGCTGTATAGATAAAATTGCATGTAAAGAATCGGGAAGTTAGCTTAAAAGAGAAATTATCGAGCACATGATAATTCATAAAAATATTTCTTCAAGGATGTGAAGAAGTTCTACGATTTACTGCCCAACATAATAGATTTCTACGAAGTGCCATGGCCCAATTTTAGTCACGCGCACTTTATATTTGCTAATGATGCGCCTACATTTCTGTATGAAAGACTTTTTAAGATCATGAAATGGAAATATTGAAACAATATAACAACGATATATGATAATACATTAATCATCTGAATATTTCACACTGAACTCTAGTAACAGATATACGATTGACAACATTTGCGTTAATTTCTATAAAAGCTGATAATATAATTTAGTATTATTTAGAATTAGTATCTACTTGTAAAGTAATAATAATGATTATATTCATTTTCTTTAAGGGGATCCTTCAGCAAATGACGAACTCCGACAAAATAGCAGCACACATATCCAAAATATGCACGTGTACATATATACAAATCGTATTCCTAATTACAATTTTTATTAGACTTCTAATCTAGGTTGAAAGGATAACAGTGCTTCCTTTCGTGTCTTCGAATCCCAGGGAATGTGCATTTTTATTCGTACAAAGTGCATATGTTTTATATAAAGCACATATTATAAGATTCACACACATGAGATTGTTTATTAGTTTATTGTTATATTCTGCTTCCATCTATCTGTAATTTCTTTTTTCATTAGTGTAACATCACAACAAGTGAACGATGCAATGCAGCATTAATAAATAGTGAGTAGAATGTTAATGCGCACAGTCGTTATTCATTTTGCTCGTGTGTTTTCTGCCTTTTTCCGATAATACATATCCCGATACTCCAAAAAACTCTCGAGCTGTCCGTTTTCATTCCATGTTTAGTGAATTCTTATGGATGCAGTAAGATTGATCGGGTTTATGTGTTTGCTGTCGTTCTACGATTGTCTTGTTGGAGATGCGTACCCCGAACCAAGCGAGCCTGTGGAAAGAATAATTCGGTCTAGTTGGAACAAAGCCGAATTCAATCCTGAAGCAATGTTCAACACTGTAAGTACACACTTTTAACTAAATAAAATGAGGATTGAAGTTTTCATTATTTCAGTTAACTGAATTTCTTTAAATGCTGTCAAAAAATTATTAAAAAATGTGATCTTATATAGGGTGTTACTTAATTTGCGTCCACTATTTATAAGTGCACAGCGTTAATTCTTACAAAAAATAATAAGTCAAAAAGTCCTGAACAATTTTTTTTTATATTGCCTAATAAAGAAAAATTATTCAATAAAGTAGGGTTGTAAAAGGCTGAGCTTTAGCCTACTTAGTGGGCGCGAATTAAATGACACCCTGTATGTATCGCCCTGGCCGTTTTTCTTTTGTTTATAATACACTAAAAAAAAGTTTGTTAAATTAACAAATATTTAATTCAATACGTTCGAATAATTCATTTATTTGAAACAAATAAATATTTATTAGTTTTGAAAAGGATTTTCTTATATCAAATAAGTATTTTTTTATATCAAATAAATATTTATTTGTTTTAAATAAATATTTATTTGTTTCAAATAAAATATTTATTTGAACGTATTGAACTAAATTGTTAATTTAACAAATTTCTTTTTTAGTGTAGAAATTGAAATTTCACAGATTAAATTTAAATCATCGTTAAGTAAATAGTCTTTAATAATATTTATCGTTTTTTAGAACCGATTTTTAAAATTTATAATATTGTTTAAAGCTAGTTGTTATTTAATTTTTTTCCTTATTTTAAAATACGTAATAATACATATATGAAATAAGATATGAATATTAACATAAAATAGTAACATGTATACACAAGACACATATACAAACAGTGTTTTACAACTTTTGTATAAAACATATTTTTCGAAACTGTATAGATTTCGTCAAATTAAGGAATTTAATATTTGTTGTACATCTTGTGTATACAGTTGTGTATGTACAAAAATATATGCAAAAGTAAGAAGCAGTTGCGCCATTCATTATACATGTATCATTATATTTATATATGAACATATAGTATATAGCTCTATATTTTATCTTAAAAATTATTATGTGTGTTATTTTTTTAGGGCAGTTGATTTCTTTATGTTGTACATAAAATTATTTAAGTTAGATTGTCAGAAAATAAATGTTTTACGAGATATTTCAGAGTTTATATTAAATTTATATCAACATCAAGGTATAAAATATCTTGTAAACTATTCACTTCTTGATCATCCTATTTTTAAAATTTTTTTGCAGAACATTGCGAGAAATTAATTTCAAAAATATTTTTAAAAATTATTGTATTTTTATTTTAAAATTTCAAGATTATTTTATCTGGCGTTGGCACTACCATTCTAAGTCGAAATGATGAGATCAGCAAATATAATATTTTCAAACTACAATTTTTATCTGAAATTAACTTATATTTTTCGAGATGTTCTAAGGTTTCAATCTTTGTGGAACACTGTATGTATACTTATAGTGAAATCAATAATGATTGCACACGCGTCTGCTACTTAAATTGCATACACATTCAATGTTGCAATATGTTGCTTTTATGATGTTTTTTCATTAATTTCTTTAGAGAAAGAATATACATATATACAGAATAATTCAGAAGTACGAGTGTACAAACTTTGATAGATTGTTGTCTGTGAGATCATTCTGAGTACAAAAGTTTAAAAATTTTACTACTCTCATAGTAAGGTCACATGATTATTCGTAGAAAGTGATTCTGAAAAATCAAAATAAAACAGGAAAAAATGTACAAACATCTCATTTGTTTAAATATTAATTTCATAAATAATTTTTCAACATGTGCTCTTTGAGCTTGAATGCAGACGTTGCAAAAAAAATCAAGAAATTGTACACATTACATTAGTTATCCCTGATAAAAAAAATCGATAGAAAACATAGGAATCGATAGGATTTGTAAAAAATTGGAACGTTTTCTATCGTAACCTATATTATTTCACTTTTTATATTTTGAAAGAAATGTTATTGTTTCTTATCATTTTCTTTCATTTTCTGTTATCCATCGGATTCAGTCGTTAGAATACGATAAAATTCTTATAGTAATATATTGTTTTTTATTGTTTTTTTGGAATTTACCGAGAAAAAATGATTGAAAATTTATCGTATTCAATTGTATATAATTGTAGTTATGAAACTACGATTAAAAATCATGCAATCGTTTTTCTATTGTTTTTTATCGATTTTTTTTATCAGGGATGCAAATGGCATTTGCATCGATAATCCTTTAATGCATGCTTCCACTAACACAATGTTTTCTATTTTTGTGCAGCCTGTTTTTCAACAAAGTTAAGCTATTATACTCGTTTTGTGGAATTTTACTGAGAAAAAATGATTGAAAATTTACCGGAATCAATTGTATATAATTATAGTTATAGAACTACGATAAAAAAATGATGCATTCGTTATCTATTGTTCTTTTCGATTTTTTTATCAGGGTCAATTTGCATTGATAATCCTTTAATGCATGCTTTCCCTGATACATTGTTTTCTATTTTTTACAGCCTGTTTTTACAGCTTGTTTTTCGACAAAGTTAAGCTATCATACTTCGATATATCGGTTTGCTGTTTATATCATTCGCAGAGCCAAATCTAGGATGTGGCGAGCGAGGCACTTGCCTCGAGTGAAAGACATGAGACGGCATAAAAATAAACAATAAATCGAACAACTTTTTAGACAAAACATTTTTTTTAGAAAAATGCAAAAATGATATTAGCATCAACTTAAGTAGCAATTTAAGTAGCAAGCGCGTATGTTATTTTGATGTGTGTGTGTGCATGCGCATGTAGAAAAGAAAGGCGTCGATTACTAATACTAATTTCTTTGAGTGCAAAAATATCTAGATCCGGTTCTGTTTTCTCGGTAATTTTTTTTTTTAATACATTAAATTTGTATGTGTATGCGTATATATATATTAAATACAAATTTTTTATTTTCTCATAATCGATAATGATATTTATGATGATTTTCAAATTATAAAACTGTTGATAAATTATTTTCTTCACTCAAATCTTGTGTAAAATAATGCGTATATAGTACAATCAATTTTTATCTAAGACAATAATACAATCTCTTTTTTTTGTAGTTTTTCAAAATATTCAAGTAGATAAATGATCAATAAATAAAAATAAAATAAAAATTATTTAATTATATTATTTTTATTATATTTTCGAAGGAGTAAACTTATTTATCTTATTATTTCGATATATTTGCAGTATTGGTAAATCTATATTTTATAATACTGTTATCTAATAATAAAAGATTGAAACTACTTGTTGATTTGACGATTTAGTAATGGAAAAGCTTTGCAATACTGATTGAATAATATACGAAATTTTTTTCGTGTTTTATAATACATTTTTTTGTAATAAATAATTTAAAAAATATGTCCAACACTTTCATTATAGATATAAATATTGTAAAAATTTTAATTACAATAATTAAAGAAAGGGAACGGATAAAATAGAATTAATTTTTGACTTGACAAGAAAAACACTATCTACGCACATAATTTGATCTCAAGATTTTTCTCGGTTTTTGTTGTCAATTTGCTGTCAGATTCTGTAAACAGATACTGCTAGCAAATCGTAAACAAATTATGGAAATAACCGATGCTGATCTGTTAGCAACTTTTGTAGAAATTTGTCGCCAATCTGCTAACAATTTGCGCGCATTTTGCTTTCCGAGAATCGTCATTTGAAGGTTGTCAAATTCTAGCAATCCTAAAAATGCCTTAAAGAGATCCTAAACGTTCTTAAAAAGTCTGTTTTTCTCCTGTTTTATCGACAAAATGTAAGGTTAAATGAACTATAAATCTATTTATTGGCTAGACGGATTGTTTTTTCTGAAATTAGACTAGGCCGGATTTGACATTGAATAAAGGAATCTAAGTACATGTTTAGATATCAATTTGGAAGCCTAGTAAACGAGAATAGCACATCCTACATTTTTGTGCATGCAAGTTATTATCTGTGAATGATACTTTTAAAGACTCTCATTCTAACCAAGTATGATAATGATTTTCATGGTATATTTAAAATACAAAACTGCTGATAAGTCTGTTGGCATTTATTCGTTGGGCTCGACTTATTTAGTTATCCGTCGTCCGTCTTGTTATTGCGGGCATGTATTATTATAAGGCATTGTCTCGGTATTTACATTCTTTTGTATTGTATGTCTTCCGTACATGTTTATCCGTTCGTCGTCTGAGATTTTTATCGAATTCGTGTCCTCGCGTGATTGGCGCGATTTGAAGCGTCGGTTATTTTGACGGCGGTATATAAGACGACCGCCGGTCGAGAGACGCGCTCTCATTATTGATTCTTCTCCGAGTAATAAACAGTTCTCAACGCATCAAGAGTATTTTATTTCAAATATATATATCACTCGCCCAACAGTTTATCAGAAGTGGGATTCGAAGTTCGCGTGTCAATTACTTGAAGAAAAGGGGAGAGGAGTGCATAATGAGTACGCCAGGTAATAATTTCACGGTGGTGGAATTGAAATCGGCTTTACGGGCAAGAGGGCTGCCGTCGGAGGGAGCGAAGGCGGAGTTGATCCAGAGGCTCGAGAAGATCGGCGATCCGGGCGTGTGGGCCGAATTGAACAAGCGGCCAGAGGGGCAGCGTTCAGCGGGTGCCTCGCGTCCAGAAATGGAGAGTGAGATGGGGGAGACCCTGGCGGAGGACGACCTTCTGGAGGAGTTTGCTGCGGAGGAGACCGCGTTGGAGAGGACGGCGGCGAGACGGGATGCGGTGGTGCGAGGGCACGAGGGCGCCTCGTCCGCTTTCCTCGGAAATTTAGAACGCGCCGAGTTAAATCTCTTGCGAAGAGAGAAAGATTTGTGGGAGAGAGAGAGGTCATTTTTTCAAAGGGAGAGAGAGCTGCTTCGCGGCTCTTCGGTGGCGTCAACGGGATCGTCTGGTGGTGAAAGTTTTAGGGGTGTCAAGGAGTTGTTGCCGGAATTCGACGGAAGTGAGAATACGTTTTGGAGGTGGAGGAGTCAGCTCGGACTTCTCAGGGACACCTATCGTCTTGACGAAGGCGCTACCAGGATCCTGATCGGCTATCGTTTGAAGGGACGGGCATTGACCTGGTTCTACTCCAAAACCGAACACCTTGCAATGGGGATGGAGGAGCTGCTGGAAGAGATGGCGCGAATGTTCGACCTGCGTCCGGCAAGGATCACGCTCCGGAGAAAATTTGAGGCTCGCATGTGGAGGGGCGACGAGCCATTTAGCAATTATTATCACGAAAAGGTGATTCTTGCTAATCGTGTCCCGGTGGCTGAGGACGAGCTTATTGATCATGTGATTGAGGGCATTACGAACGTGCAATTGCGGAACCAGGCGCGTCTGATGAGGTTCCGGTCGGGAGCGGAATTGCTGGAGGCCTTCGAGAGCATCGTGTTCGAGCGCAGAGACAGGATGATGGGGCCGCCCGGAGGAGCGAGACCCGCTGTCGGCGAGGGATTAGGAGCGGCGTTGGGCCCGGGACGGGCGGAGATCCGGGGAGACAGGGTGAGGCCAGATGCGGATGGTGGAGCCGGGCGGCCAGGGTTAGAGCGGACGCGGTGTTTCCGCTGCGGTGAGGTAGGCCATATCGCGGCGCGTTGCGGGCGGCAGCCGACGGGTCGCGCGTGTTATGTTTGCGGGGCGTCGGGACACTTGGCGGCGGGGTGCCCTGGGCGTGGACGGCCAGCGGTGGCGGGTCCGACGGCGGGATCGACGGAGATCGGGTTGGCGGACGCGGTTCGGCCAGCCGCGTTTCCTGGACCGTACATGGTAAGTGTGGATATTTTAGCGGCAGATGAGGGCGCAGATTTTAATTATACCGACGACGCGGTGGTTGATTCGGGATCACCGATCAGCCTGATAAGAAGTAGTAACGTCCCAGGAAAATTGTGTTCACTGGTCGATCAGAGCGCAAATCAATTTCACGGTATTAACGGCTCTTTACTCCGCGTAAACAGTATTTTTTATAGTATTGTAAAAGTCTGTGGCGTCCAAATCAAAATAAAGTTTTATACAGTACCGGACGACGCAATGATGTATAATGTTCTTCTCGGAAGAGATTTTTTGATGTGTCCGTCGATACGAGTTACGTTCGGAGAAACAGTAAAAATAGTAGCGATTGAGGAGCCGAGTACTTTTGGAGAAATTATGATGATTGAGAGTGGTGACGTTTCGGTCAATATGTGTGGCGAACTCCGAATCGACGAAGGTATTGGCGAAAAGAGCGTTAGAGAGATCAGCGAGGCGCACGAGGCATGTTACCTCGATTGCTTGCGGGCGGAGAGCGGCGCGCCCAATTTTGAGATGACCATCGCATTGAAGCACGAACAACCGATAGCGTCGCGCCCGCGGAGGTTGTCATTCGCTGACAAGGAGGCTTTGTGCGGTATTTTAGACAGGCGCTTGAGTGATGGAACCATACGACACAGCGATTCCCCGTATGCGAGTCCCATCGTGCTCGTTAGGAAAAAAGACGGAAGTATTCGTTTGTGTATCGATTATCGCGAACTAAACAAAATCACGGTGCGAGATAATTTCCCCACGGAATTGATCGACGATAATATTGATCGCTTGAGAAGCAAAAAATATTTCTCGATTTCGGGTTTAAAGGATGGATTCCATCACGTCAGGATGCATCCCGCGTCGATAAAATATGCGTCATTTGTGACGCCGCTGGGGCAGTTTGAATGGCTACGTATGCCGTTCGGACTGACGAACGCGCCGCGTGTGTTTCAGCGTTTTATACATATGGTGTTTGTGAAAATTCGTGACGAACTCGGAAAGAGCGAAATAAAATATTATGAATTGCGCGACGGATTGGCCTATCGAAAGGACAAAAATGGGAAAGTTTATTGGTTCCCGCGAAGGCGGGACAAAGTCAAAGGATACGGTCGGAATAAAAAAAAAAAAAAAAAAAAAAAAAAAAAAAAAAAAAATTTGATACCAAAATTTAAAAGACCGTATGTGATAAGGAAAGCGCTCGATTATGACCGATATATTGTAAGCGATATCGACGGTTTCCAGGTGATACAACGGCCATATAGCGGTGTAGTTGCGCCCGATCAGATGCGACCATATGTAAAATTATAATTGTGTTTGCGAGTATGCGTTTGACCGATATGCGATATTTGATTATGTTAGGCCGGGACGGCCTAAATGTCAGAATGGCCGAACTGTTGGCATTTATTCGTTGGGCTCGACTTATTTAGTTATCCGTCGTCCGTCTTGTTATTGCGGGCATGTATTATTATAAGGCATTGTCTCGGTATTTACATTCTTTTGTATTGTATGTCTTCCGTACATGTTTATCCGTTCGTCGTCTGAGATTTTTATCGAATTCGTGTCCTCGCGTGATTGGCGCGATTTGAAGCGTCGGTTATTTTGACGGCGGTATATAAGACGACCGCCGGTCGAGAGACGCGCTCTCATTATTGATTCTTCTCCGAGTAATAAACAGTTCTCAACGCATCAAGAGTATTTTATTTCAAATATATATATCACTCGCCCAACAAGTCAGTGATTATTGTATTTTTTTAATTAAACTTAATACAAAATAATGAGTAGATATAATAAATTTGATTGTAATAAAAACAGTGTAATAAATCTCTTTTTGTAGTTTTTTAAAACTTTTCAACTAAAAAAGATTATGGAAATAATAAAAATCAATAATATTACATTTATATAATTATAAATAATAAATATAAAATATATTTCAAAATTATGTGTGCTGCATAAAAATTACTACATTTATCATGAATAATATAGATAATATACTTTACTTTCCCGATGTAGTAAACTCACTTATAGTTTTACAATGCGTTTACAGTATCATTAAAACTATCTTGCTATTATTTAGAGATTGACATTACAAGACGTTGATCAAATATTTACAAGTTCAACTTGTCAATTTATTTATTGCATTAACTATATCGGAACAATATTTGTCGCATTTTTTAATTTAAATGCGACAATATATCTATATATGCGATAAATAATTTAATTAAAATTCGACAAATTAAAGTGACTTCAAAAAATTTTATATATAATAAGAATGATTATCTTCTTTTAAAGATTTATATATATGCGAAACTTATATGTATATAAATATAATATTGAATATACTATCCGTATTTTCTTTATTTGCTTCATGTAAAAATTGTAAATATAAATACTTTCTTCATTTTACCAGCAAAAGAGTGTAATACGAAAAACTATAATCACATCTAAAAAATTTAGTTGAATTGCTGAATTCTTTATGTAAAATGCGCATGTGATAAATTATTAATATACAAAAAAGAATAAATAATGAATAAATGCATCAATCGTAAAAGAAAACAATGTATAGATAATTAAGTCATAATTGAAAAAAAAACTTATATTATTAGTATACATCTCTGACATGTAATTTGCAAAAAACATTTTTTTCGTAAATTATTTATAATAATTACAAATTATATTTTAAATGCCACTTGATTGCAGTATTGTATATAACTGTGAGTTAAAAAAATTTATTAAACATAGTAAAATTTCTACATATTGTAAATAAGATCATAACTTGAATATTAATAAAAAAAGGATTAAATGTAACATTCACTATGTTATAAAATGTATGCAAAAGTAAATAAAAGCAATATTTCTTAATAGATATTATCTAGAATCGCAAAAATTCATTACTCTATACAAAAATATATACCCATAAAAAGAATTACGATTGATTCGTCTCTCCATGTCCAATAATATCCAACGAACTTATTATAAGTATCGAATCTTCTATGTTATCTCTTAAGATTTTGATATATTTGAGACAATTTGTAAAGTTTGGTCTACCGATTACAGATTTCCAACAATGTAGCATCAACTGATACAACATCGGTGGACAGTTGAGAGGTTTTGGCAGTTTGCCTCCCTCACGCACATATTCTATAACTTCGGAATAATTTTTGCCAGGATAAGGATGTTCACCCAATGACATAATTTCCCACATTAGTACTCCGAAAGCCCAAACATCGCTTTGTGAAGTAAATATTCCAAACACTAAAGATTCCGGTGCCATCCAGCGAACAGGAAGCGGGTGGTCTCCTTTCTAAAACACAATTATATAACACAATTAAGTTATTTTTATCGAACTTCCTTCAGAAATTTAGAAACAAGCGTTATGCGCATACAATCAACTCTCATTTTCCCTTCTTCATAGGTATACAAATAAAAATAATTTATTTTTACCGTTATAATCAGCTTAAAATTGTATTATTATGAAAAAATAGAAAAAAAATTTTAGCTTTCTCAAGTAATTGTATTTACCATACGGTAATAGTGATCCTTGTAAATATCTCTGGCTAGTCCAAAGTCGCCGATTTTCACAATACGGTTTTCATGATTTTTTACGGATATTAAGCAATTTCGACACGCGAGATCTCTATGCACAAATTGCTGCCTTTCTAAGTAACAACAGCCTCGAGCAACATCTTCGCACATGGCGAGCAAGTCTTTCAGACGCAACGCGCACGAATCTGACGATTGCAATGTTCCATTATTTCTTAAATAATTCAATAAGTCACCAGGTTCTATTAATTCCAATATAAGTAACGGTGAATTCGTGTTCAAACAAATGCCTAATATTCTTATCACATTTTTATGTCGAATGTGGCTCATAAGTTTAGCCTCTTTCAAGAATTCCTTTTTTTCTTTCGAAGAAGCTTGTCTTTTCAGCATTTTTATCGCAACTGGTGTTGTGTCCAACCCTTCAAAATTTTTATGATTCCTTGATATACCTGTGAAATATTACATAATTAACAGACAAATCGATAAAATGTATGCTAAAAATGTTTATCCTATTTGACTTTTTTTCAGAGAAATTTTAATTTTAACAATTACTTTTATTTAAAAATATGTTTGACCATCAATTTGGACGATTAAAAAATAAAAAATATACTTAAGTAATAAAAAATGATACCTACACTACCAAATGCGCCGCTACCTAAAAACTTTGTTTGGATAATTTGATTTTTTTCGATTATGGTCAACGCAAATTCGTCTGAATTATATTGCAATCTAGGAGGGTTCAGCAAATTTAGTTGAGTGCACCCGAAAGATATTTCATTTAAAGGTACTAATTCCGTATTGATCATTATTGGAGGCGAAACTATTTCGTTACTTCTTTTGCGTTGCCTGTATGCTGTCATATAAAAAAACTTTTAATACACGACATAATGCTCCGCATTGCAATATCTTAATTCTTTTTAAGAAATAATGCTGACTTTTTCAAATTTTATATGTTTGTATATCTATATACCAAATCTAAACAATTTATAATAAAAATCCAAAATTTATATAAAATATACTTACTACAATAAAAGTAGTAAACATTGTATATTACAATGATTACAATAAGACATAATATTAATGGCAGATAATATTGCATAGCTGTCCCAGTTGCGCTAGGAATCTTTCTTGCATCACCTTTGTTACATAAAAGTACAATTCTTCGTTTCGGATTTTTTATTTAAGATATTTTATCATAATATCTAAGAACTACATTACTTGAAATGGACATCAAGGAAAGATTGAAACGTAATAAGATTAATAAATTGCCAGTTGGTCGACACATATTTCTCAAAATAAAATACTAACACTCTTCTCTCGACCAATTTGGCAAAGTTATTAATTTACTTCACAACGTTTTGATCATGATTTAGGTCCTTAGCAAGTGATTTGTGAAATGTAGTTAAAATTTAAGAAATTAAGCTAAGTAATGTCAAAAACATGATGTCAGTTTTACACAATGTACTCACTTGCTTACTTCTTAAAATTTAAACTACATTTCGCAAATCACTTGTTAAGGATTTAAATCATGGTCTAAACGTTGTGAAGTGAATTAATAAATTTTTGCCAGGTTGGTCGGGTGTTTATTAATTTTTTTTTAATTCTATCTGGCGGTTTTTCATGCACATAATAATCAATTATTATTAAGACATTTTACTTAAAACTTCATTATTCAATTTCTAATGCGAAAAAACTTTTAAGACATTCTTAAAGTAAATCTATGTTTTCATAACGTCTTCATTTGCTTACCGAGCGTTTCAAAAATAAATTCTTTTCCATCAGACGGCCATGTAAAATTTTCTTTATACTTAGTATATTTTAAGTTCAAACGAAATTTGTACTTAGTTTGCGGCAATAAATTTTCTATGTGATATGTTATTTTATCATTATTCCCCTTAATATTATTCGCAATTTCCCATATCCTCTTTCGTGACGCAGCATTTTTGTATTCTAGTATAAGGAATTCAGTAGGAATCGTCAGATTAACGCTTGGAATCCACGAGATATTCATACTGTTTGTATCGATCCCATTCAAACTTAAATTATTTGGTTCGGACATGTAGACTGTTTTTATTACACTGTCAGTGACGACATCTGTCCGAATGATTGGATACACACTCACGTATATCTCGTATTTTTGCTTTGGTATCAGTGACGGAATTACCGCGAAAAACTTGCCATTTGTCTTACGTTCTAGCTTATTAAAGACTTTTATGAAGCGAACCGAATTTTGATTTTCTTGAGTGTTATGTGGATATTCTACCAATTTTACCACATAATTCACTTCCACGCAATTTAATTTTTTCGGTGGCATCCAATCAATTACCGCCAGATTTGGCATTACAACTTGAACTACTACATCATCCGGTGCATAGAGCTTGCCCGTAGTTATCAGTTTTACATCTGGGCCGAATTGCAAATCCATCGATATCTTGTAGATGTAAAAATTGCTCAATGCCAGCTTTAACGTGTATTCTGTCAACTGCGTCAAATTTTGGAATTCGTACTGCCGTTCGTACGTTTGGACATGAAATTCCTCGAATTTGTTGAGATCATTGTCTAAACATTTTAAATAACTCACAGAGATGTTATATATAAAAATAAAATTGTACTTTTTACATTCGTCATTGAGATTCGGCTCCGGAAGGTTCACCTTAATGCTGTCTGCAGTTATTAACATTTCTTCAACACGATTATCCTTCGTAGGTATTAGACATATCTTCGGGGGATATGATTGTAAAGTTTTATCAAGAAGTTTTATAATGTATTGATGCATGTTCTTAATTAATTGGATTTTTTGAAGACATTCAAATGTGTTTTCTTTGCTTTCGAGAAGAGCATTTCCCTTTCTTAAAATATATATTTCTTTATAAGTAATCAAGTAAATATTAATACTATCAATTAATAAATCATATGATAAAAATTATTTGATTGATTTGGAAATCTTAAAATTATATTGCAATTACAACCATTAATATCCGTGACGATTAAATATTCATTGTTTATTATCCAATATATTAGCGGCTCGTCAATATTCGTTGTATCAATCGTCATAAAAGTGTAATCAATTTGTAGCAATCCTAGAAATGTCTTGAGGCAGAAGCATTTATTGTCTGCCATAATGATTTGTTTCTACCATTCAAATCCGTTTGCACTATTGAAGAATCTACTGTCCAATATAAATGTCTGAAAAATATTTATATTGCTCACTTTTATTAAAACATTATTATAATTACATATCTATCACAAACGAATATATGTTTATTTATATCTTATACGTTTCTATGTAAATTTATGATTGCATTACTTATGGATCTTTAATACAAAATTTGCATATTAAATTAACAAGTTATAGAACAACACAAATCTTTAATTAAAAAAAACACAATATATTGTTCAATTTGTTAAATTATTAAATTTAATGTACCTCTTATATGGTAATACTGTTACAAATGAAGCAGTCTCTTCAGCCAGTGCGATTTTTTCGTATGTTTTGATGCCTTTTTGTTGTAGTAATATTAAGTCGAATTTTATAATGTAAATATGATCGTCAATATCATATTCTAACCAATAAAGACTGCCACGAATCCAATCAATGCACAGAGAATATGCATAGCCTCCCATTTCTGCTATTATTGTAAAATTTTGATTCGTTTCGATTGCGTTCGGATTAAATTCCAATGTTATTAACTTTGAGGCGTTAATAATCCCATAAATTTTATGTTCCAATGCTGAGTAAACGATGTCAGTACAGTATTTATATATATCACGTTCAAAGCCGATCTTTAAATCTATATCCAGTACATGCAATCTTATTATATTATGGACGAGTAATAAAGGTACTGGATTCTCATGCGTGGTCGACACGTTGATAAACTTAGTATAAGAGCCAGCACCAAATTTGTTATGCGCTTGTACTTCGAAATAATACACTCTATCAGGTTTTAAATTGTACACTTTAAGTTGCAATATCGTGAAATTTGAGATTATAACAACTCTTTTATGAATTATTTGATTCTCAAAAAACCAATATTGAACCGTATATTTTTGTATCACTCCATTTGTAAATTTAGGTTCGTTCCATCTATAAAGAATATAAAAATATTTTATCTTTTTATTTTTAACAACTTCTGAAATCTATTTACATATAATTATCTATTACACGTGACATATAGATAAGTTTCATTTTGAAAAATCGGGTTGACCTTGAAATGATCTTAAAAACGCTATCTAAAATCAAACTGATAATATATATTTTCGAGATATTTCGTCTTTCTGATTCTTTTGGTAACATTCTTCATATACAAGGTATATCATATGTGGTGGACAAAATTTCAGGAATGAATTTCTCATGCTTATAGAGAAGAAAGAAATGTTATACACCCATAGGTCCAGAAATGATTAGTTTCAGGTCCGTTTAAGGTCCGGAAATGATTAGTTTTTGAGTTTTAAAATTCTTGTAACAAATAATTTTTGTCTCATTTCTCGTCTTAGGAATCTTCGCTTAAAGATATCGACGATATTTTTTAAGTTTGCTGGCCTATGTTTACAGAAGGTGGACATTTTGAACATTTCCTATAATTGCAAGACGAGAAATGGGATAAAAATTTTGTATTACATATGTTATATGAATCTAAGTAACTAAAAAACTAATCTTTTTCGGATCTATGTTCATATGAAAACTTTTTATCTTCTCTATAAACATGAGGAATCCATTTCTTAAATTTTGAACACTACTTGAGAAACACCTGTATATACACTGTATATACACATTGTATTTTATATACAATAAAACTTAAAACAATAAGAAGTATTTGATTTAAGAAAGCAAGTATTCATTATTTACCTTGAGAGTTATTATTTACCTGAATGTCACAAAAATGTCTTTCTGATTTAGTCTGTCGTTAAATTCCACAAATGCTCTAGGACATGTTGGCTCGCTTGGAATGCTTTCTGAAGATGGTGTAATTTCTCCTTGAAGCAAAATTCATACTCTATTATATGCAAAGGTCCAGTATGTATGTAAATCGTTCTAGTTTTTAAAATCATGCATATATATATATATTTATATGGGGCATTCTTTTTCAAAACGGTCACCCCTTTGCACAATTTATTTCGTGAGATAAATAAGTTTTGAAGTGCTTAAAATTTTCATTAAACTTTCTACTTTTAAATGCCATGTGGCAAATTCGAAACTGCAAGACTCAAAATGGCGGGCAAAACAAAAAGTGAAAAATTGAGATTCCGCAAAAATTGACTATTTTGAGTATCTCGAATTTGGAATTGATTTGTTTACCAAATGATACTTTATGATGAAAAATCAATCATAATTAATTTTTAAGTTGAGCCAAAAATTGGTTTCAGAGATATAAGCGATCAAAGCAGTAGTCAAAATTATGAATTTTGACTAATTTGATCGCTTATGATCAAAACACTTCCCATGGAACGTTCTTTGTGAAAAAGGCCATCCTCCTTGCACATTTTATTTCTTGAGATAAATAAATGTTTAAGTGCTGAAATTTTCGTTGTCCCTTGTACTTTTGAATGCTTGTGGGTCATGAGACATGTAAACGCGTATATTATTTTGTCGCGGCCGTCGTGAAGGATAACACATTACGCCCGCAGCTTTGTGCAACCGTTCCACTGAAATTATTCTGATCCATCGAAAATCGATGTAAAGAGATTTTAATGTAGTGCAAACAGTAGTTAGGATAACTACTGGAGAAAAATAGCTTGTATTCAACTCGTAATCAGGTCGTAATCATAAACGATCAAATTAGTCAAAATTCATAATTCTGACTACTTTGATCGCTCATATCTCTGAAACCAATTGTCGGTTCAACTTAAAAATCAATTATAATTAATTTCTTATCTATTCTTAAAGTATCATTTGGTAAACAAATCAATTCCAAATTCGCGAAACCCAAAATAATCAATTTTTGCGGAAGCTCAATTATCCTTTTTTTGCTTTGCCCGCCATTTTGAATCTGGCAGTTCCGCATTTGCCACACGGCATTTAAAAGTAGGTTTAACAAAAATTTTAAGCACTTTAAAAGCTATTTATCTCAAGAAATAAAATGTGCAGGAGGGTGGCCGTTTTGAGAAAAAATGTCCCATATATATATATATATATATATATATATATATATATATATATATATATACAGGGTGTCCCATAATTCGCGAACCACCGCAAATGGGCAGATAGAGCGTGTTAAACTGAATAGAAAAGTCCTGTATCATTTTTTGCGATATCCGCAATAATTATTGAGTTATTTATTAAAATATCTAAACGAATAAGCAGGTAGAAAGCGTTATTTGATCGAGAGGCGGTGTTATGCAGCGAGCGGCGACCAATGTAGTGGCGCCGAAAAGTAAGATAATACTTTTGATACTAAGCGGCATATAACAAATAAGTCATCCGACATGCACACCGAGTTCGGCCTACCGCTTTCTACCCGCTCATTCGTTTAGATATTTTAGTAAATAACTCAATAATTATTGCGAATATCGCAAAATGATACAGGACTTTTCTATTCAGTTTAACACGCTCTATCTGTCTATTCGCGGTGGTTCGCGAATTATGGGACACCCTGTATATATATTGACATATGTGGTCTGTCAAAAAAGGAATTAAATTAAATATGTACCGCATATTATGGTAACGTTGTAAAAATCATAGTCATATGCGGAATGTAAAATATAATTTTTCCTTCAAAAATTACAAGTTTTAATTCATTTAGTTGTATTTATATATGTCTCGTTATAACATTTTTTGTAAGTATAAATCTCATTGTTTTCATGAATCGTTATTCAGAAAAAATATTAAACAAATATAAGCGATAAAAGTTAATAATTAGTACTTATATATATTTTAACGCATGCTTAGATTATATTATTTGATAATAAATTATGATGATTTGAAATAAATGTACATACACAACACAACATTTTATATACATTTATATGCATATTTTGTGAAATTTATTAGATTTTGAAATATTTACAAATAGGAACCTTTAAAAATACTTATACTTTACAAATAAACTCTTACCGACTTCATTTCTTTTTCTCACAGTGTCGTTTTCAAAATAATACTGAACAGATTCCATATTTGATGACACGTACTCATGGACATCGATGAATCTGAAGGATGGGTTATCCTAGTAATAAATATGCATCATATAACTTATAAAAATCTACTATTCCATTGAATCACATGATAAACAGTACATAATGTGAGATTAGATTAAAACTTATTTCGCAAATAATTTAATAAATAAGTCATTGTAGTAATAAATGCAAAATTCCAAATAGTTAAATTAATATATATGTGATAAATGTCCCAACTTTCAAATCAATGTTCAACTTTATTACAAGTAGAAATAACCTTTGCTTTTCTTTCGAGATGACGGTTTTCGATTTTTTTATAATTATAGAAATGACATGTATAAAGGTAAATTAAATTATTATAAAATATCCAACTAGATACATATGTACAATAGATATACACTACTGTGCAATATATAAAATACTGTATAATATATAAAATACTGTGTTAAACACCGTTTATAGAAACTGTTTTTATTGTGTTTCTGATCAAAATATCTTTTTAAGTATCAAAGATTTTTCTTGCATTAAAGAGAAAGTTGCTTAAGGAACGCAAGATTAGATTAATAAAAATTATAAAGAATTTATAACAGTTTGTCTTACAAGCCTGGTTCTTTTTAAATGTTAAAATAGTTTTGTCTAATAATTGGGTTTTTATATGAGTTTATGTACATATGTTTACGTATATATATATACTTTAAATGATAAATTGTATATTAATTGGAACATATAAAGAATAATAGCTGTTGTGTATATTATTAGCTTCGAAACTGTTTGATTGAGAACGCAATTTATTGTATGGAATTTTATTTTACCGATTTTCTATTTCAACATTTACAATTAGTAGTTTTGTACGCATGCAATATAATTTTACTAAAAATTCTAATTTTCTATATTGATTACTTTAAATAACAAATAACTTACTAAAAATTTTATACAAAAATCAATAAATATAAATATTTAAAGAAAGTTTTAGAAATCACAAAAGAATAATGTGAAAATGTATCTGTGCATAAAAATATGATATAAATACGTATGTTTGTCATGTTAACAGAAGATGAATCTCATACAGCACAAAACATTTCAGAGACTTTCGCAGAATTTATTCAAAATATTTTATATACGTCTTAAACATGTGAAAATGTCCGCTATTTTTACACAAATATGTTTATGAAAGATTGTATAAACGTTTCAAATGTTACGTTTTCTATGTTATGTTTCTTAGATGTTATAATGATGTTTCAGTGTTACTTGAAACGTTGAAACGTTTCTGCAACATTTCTGTTGAGTTTTGTGCTGTGGGATGGAATGAATAACAAAATCATTAATATTAAAAATATTTTTCATAAACAAGACAATTATATCAACATATGTTACGTTTAAGTTTAAATATTCATCACAATTAAATTTACTTTATTTAGTAACAAAATAACATCAATCTTTAAATATATGACGTAAATTAAACTTTACTTTTATTATATCATTAATTTTTCATAAATAGTGACAGAGTATAAAATATTAATATCACAAACAATCTATTGTCTGAAGTGTATATAACATTTAATTTATTCGCGGGATCTAATATTTGTTCTGTTTTGCTGCGCTAAAGTTGAACATGTCCAACTTTAAGGCTCTCGTTAAGAGAATAACTGAGCGACTTTAGCAGCAGCATCAAAAAACGTTCCATGTAAAGATGGTAGCGAATGAATAACTAAGCGAATAACCAATAATTCAGTATCATGCGCATGTGCGAAACAAATTTTTGCCAAAACGCTTGCAACTTTTTTTTTATCAGCAACGTGTAAATGATTTAACGCTAGCGATTTTGTCAGCCAGAAATTCGTCTTGCGAGAGCGAAAAGCTTGCGATAAAAAAAGTCAGCGACAAGCGTCAAAAGCAGCATTGTGTAAAACACCCTTAAAGAATGCTCTTATAAAGTTGCAAGCGTTTTGACAAAAGTTTGTTTCGCACATGCACAGGATACCGAATTATTCGCTACTCGCCTGGTTATTCATTTGCTACCATTTTTACATGGAGCGTTTTTTGTCGCTGCTGCTAAAGTCGCCCAGTTATTCGCTTGACGAGAGCGTTAAAGTTGGACATGTTCAACTTTAGCGCAGCCAGACGCAGCGAACATTAGACGCCGCGAATTTAAAATTTTAGACGCTAGCGAATAAAAAATGTGGGTCTAGAAAAAGTTTTTATCAGCGAATACGCTGGCGAATTAAAAGCTGGCTCAAAGCAAATAAAAGCAGCATCATGTAATGCACTTTTTACACGCCGCGATTTCACAATTTTAGACGCTAGCAAATAAAAAACAAGCATCTAGAAAAAAGTTCACAATTTTAGACGCTAGCAAATAAAAAACAAGCATCTACAATAGAAAAAAGTTTTTATCAGCGAATTTGCTGACAAATTAAGAAAATTGCTCAAAGCGAATAAAAGCAGCATCGTGTAAAGCACACTTTAAGTATAGATCAGAGTGTATAAAAAAATGAATTTTCGGGAAACTGACCTGAGTTATACAATCTTCCTGATCTTTCGAAGAGGACGTGAGAGCCGTCCTCATTAGCATAAATACTTTTAGTAAAACACATAATATTTTAACGTTTTTAACATAGTAAGTTTTCTCCTCTTATAGATGTTTGCACTCGATTGGCTTTCATTCTTGACTGGTGACCAACCGCTATTAAATACCATAGAATCTTCTCAATAATTTAAAATTCGTCGAATCGATGACGATTCGACCAATCATTTCTCATTGGGAAGCGTCAGCCAACAATTTATAAGCTATACAAATGATCAGTGCCGGATCGAGATATTTTCTCATCCGAGGCACTATTAGCAATTTACGCCCCTTTCTCTACATACGCACAAACGTATGTCAAAATAACATACGCTTGGTAGGTACTTGAACTGCTACATGTTAATATCATTTTCGCATTTTTATAAAAAAACTTTTTTTAAAAAAATTGTTTAATTTATTGTTCATTTTATGCCCTCTCATGTCTTTCATCCGAGACGAGTGCTTAGCTCGCTCTAGATCCGACTCTGCGAGAAACATTGAAGGGATATTGATTTGATTAATATATTTATATCATTGAGAAGATTCTATGGTATTTAATAGCTGTTGGTCACCAGTCGAAAGCCAATCGAGTACAAACATGTACAAGAGGAGAAACTTACTATGTTAAAAACGTTAAAAATATTATGTGTTTTACTAAAAGTATTTATGTTAATAGGACGGCATTTTACGTCCTCTTCGAAGGATCAGGAGGATTGTATAGCTCAGGTCAGTTTCCCGAAAATTAATTTTTTTATACACTCAGATCTATACTTAAGGGTGTTTTACACGATGCTGCTTTTATTCGCTTTGAGTAAGCTTTTGAATTCGTCAGCGAATTCGCTAATAAAAATTTTTTCTAGATGTTCGTTTTTTATTCGCTATCGTCTAACATTGTGAAATCGCGGCGTGTAAAGAATGCTCTACACTATGCTGTATTTGACGCTTGTCGCTTGCTTTTTTTATCGCCAGCTTTTCGTTTTTATTCAAGACGAATTTTTTGATTGACGAAGTCGTTACCGTTAAATCATTTACACATTTGCTGATAAAGAAAAATAAAGTCGCAAGCGTTTGAGCAAAAATTTTCTCGCATGTGCGCAGGATGCCGAATTATTTGTTACTTGCCTGGTTATTTATTCGCTACCATCTTTACACGGAGCGTTTTTTTGATGCTGCTGTTAGTCGCTTAGTTAATTCGCTTGACGAGAGCTTTATATATTATTATTATTAAACGCCGCGATTAAATATATATTATACATATTGCAGACAATAAATTGTTTGTGATATTAATATTGCATGTCACTATTTATGTAAAATAATGATATAAAAAAGTAAAGTTTAATTTTACGTCATATATTAAAAGATTAATGTTATATTGTTACACATTTAATTTAATTGGATGAATAATTAAACTCAAACGTAACATATGTTGATTTAATTATTTTGTTACAAATAATATTTTTAATATTAATGATTTTGTTATTCATCCATATATCTTCTGTTACCTGATAAACATACATGTATGTATATCATATTTTTTATACATTTATTCTCACATTATTCTCTTGTGATGTCTAAAACTTTTCTCAAATATTTATATTTATTAATTTTTGTATAAAATTTTTAAGTAAATTATTTATTATTTAAAGTAATCAATATGGAAAATTAGAACTTTTTAGGATAAATTGCATGCGTAGAAAACTACTAAATATTGAAATAGGAGTTCGGTACAATAAATTGCGTTCTCAATCAAACAGTTGCAAGGCCATAAT